ACAAATGCAGCAGAAGAAAAATACCAACCACTGAGAGCAAGGCAGGTGCTTACTTGTCATTTTGTGCCACCTTTCTTCATGTGGTCACTCAGGAACTGATAGCAGGAGATGCTGACAGTGTTAGCAAGGAACAAACAGAAATACAGAACCAGGCAAGAAAGTGATGAACATATGTATAGATGGCATTTGCTTAGAAAGCTTCCTGTGATGCATAAAATCTATGCATAATGCACAGTCTCTATTATGCAGCTCTATAATGAAGCTGTACATTTGAAATGAGCTGGAGTTTCACCCTCAAACTCTGCATGCAAGCCTGCATTTGCAACCAACAGTGGTATCTTGATACAGGATATACAAACATGTTCAGTATAACCAATGAGAGCAACTCATGCATTCTTAGGTTTTCCGTAATTTATCCTCTACTTCAAGATGAGACAAATTCTTTTACTCTCTACAGGGCCAGTATTTTCAGTTCTGTCACTACTAAGAGTATGCTAATCATGAACCTCTAAAAATAGGTTTCTGACACAACTGTGAGGTTCCCCTTAGGTCTTAATATAGTGACTCTGTGTTCACTAGACCCTTGGATTAGAATCATAGAATCATAGAATCCTTAAGGTTAGAAGGGACCTTTAGAGATCATCTAGTCCAACCCCCCTGCACATGCAGGGTCACCTAGAGCGTGTGGCACAGGATTGCGTCCAACCAGGTTTTGAAGATCTCCAAAGAAGGAGATTACACAACCTCTCTTAGAAACCTGTTCCAGTGCTCTGTCACCCTCACTGTTAAGAAATTTTTCCTTAATTTCCTGTGGAACTTTTGGTGTTTCAGTTTGTGGCCATTTCCTCTAGTCCTATGAGTGGCCACAACTGAAAAGAGGGTGGTCCCATCCTCCTCACTCCCTCCCTTAACATATTTATAGACACTGATCAGATCCCCTCTTAGTCTTCTCTTCTTCAGGCTGAACAGTCCCAGCTCTCTCAGCCTTTCCTCATAGGGCAGGTATTTCAGGCCCCTAATCATACTTGTAGTCCTGCGCTGGACTCAAAAAAATGGGCTGAGAGAACAGGAAAATGAATGAGAAAAGGCTTTCTGGGAGCCTCAGCATTATAAGAGTGTAGATTATGCATTGCTTCAATTAGAGAAGGACTGGAGGGAGACAGTGAAAAGCCTTTTGTAGGTTTTTGATCCTAGATTTGGTGACAGCTAAGTAAACAGCGCATGGGTGTGAATAAGGTCTGATCAGATAAGCCTGGGAATTCATTAACAACATGGGTGGATGAGAGGAGATAAATGTGCATTTAAGCCACATATTTAAGACACACAGCAATGCATGCTACCGTTACCTTTTCGGTGAGCTGGCATACTAAGAGAAGTAGTCTTTGTTAGGTAGTGAAAGCTAGTTCAAGTTGCTGTAATGTGGCATGCTCCTTTTATCACCTCCCCACAACTTCCTGTAGCTGTTGTTGCTCTTTCTCTTGCTGATCATAGTAGTCATGGTAGTTTTGCTAACACTTCCTCAGCCCCTTCCAGTAAATGCTTTCATAGTTCTCCAAGGACATGTATCTGTCTTCCACACTCTATTCTTTTCTCTTAAGTTTACAACCAACACTTGTAAAATCTCCCTTCTCTATCTTTCTGAAAAATGCTTCTCTTTTCCTTTGTAGGTACTAACTTTATAAAACCTATTGCATTAAGGTGAGTAGTGACTTCTATGATCTCGTTTGGACACAATTATTGGCCCTAGTCTTCTATCTTGTAAAAAAAATGGCTCTTAGACATAACGGGATTCCCTTTTCAACACAAATGCCTTTCCAACTGCTCATGCAAAAATCCTGTGGCCATTGCTCCTTTTAATGTCTCTCCCTTCTGGTCCTCTTAATCCAAATCTAGGGAGACTCCTCTTCCCTTGGGAATTCTTGTGTTTGCATTATTTTCCTTGCTAAATATGATAGATAGATCTGGAGAAGAGCGTAGCAGAAATATTGAGAGATTCTTAAAAACATGATGCATGAGAAATAGTTGATCAAACTTGACTACTTAGCTTGAAAGTACAGAACAGTCTGCAAATACACCAAAAGAGGAAGGCAGAGTTAATAACCAAAACTGCTGAACTGCATAAATTTTACCAATGTGACATAAAAGCGATGGGGGAACTTTGGGTTCTCCATCCAAGAAAAAGATAAGGAAGTGGGAAGTCTTGTGGAGGCAGGGAGATCTCAATCTTCTAAAATCTGCAAACAATATCAAACTCACTAAAGATCTGATACACTTGCAGAACAACCAATAAGGGACCAAAACTCATCTCACTGATGGTGCAAAGAACAAATAATCTTTTGGAACTCACATGAAGGTTCTGGAAGGATAACCTTATAAGAATGACCATAGCACAGACATGTACTCCTTCTCTAAGGGTATAAAAGATAGAGTTTAGCATTAGAGCATAGCAGAAATATTGAGAGATTCTTAAAAACATGATGCATGAGAAATAGGTGATCAAACTTGACTACTTAGCTTGAAAGTACAGAACAGTCTGCAAATACACCAAAAGAGGAAGGCAATAGCCAGTTCTTTGTGCCTCTGCTAAAGAAACGTGATAATTATTGCTGTCTCAAAGTGTAGAGTTAGAGATCTTAAATGGATTTCACGTACTTTCTATCCTGTCACAAACTTAAATTAAGACTTAAACAGGTGTTAAAATGGAAGTATCCAGAGGCGGCTTCCATCCCAGAGAGAGGGTTTCAGAGCTACCATGACTGCTGTAAGCACGCTTGTCTATAACATCTGAGACTGACAGCTGAGACACTGGTTTGTGTGACACAGGCCCAATTACACACACTTGCAATTTCTCTCATTGAGGTCTACACAACTTTATGCTTGCTTCCAAGTATGTGTCTCTCCCAAGTTTTTTACTCTGGAGGACATGGCATAAAATCAGTTCATTTCCTAAATGCCAGGAACATAGTCATATTAAAGAGCATCAAGATAAAGTCCTCCTGTTGCAGGATTCGGATGATTCACCTTGTTTAAAATTAAGTAGAATAGATGTTCCCTGTATCTTGGTAGGTTGGGAGCAAACTTATCAGTAGATCAGATACAACAAACAGTTAACATTCTGTAACCAAGGACAACCTGGAGCTCCATTTCATTAAAATCATTATTTTTTTTTACACATTGCAATCTTATCAGGAAAACCCCAGATCCATGTATCTTTAAGGAACTGTCTTCATTATAACACTACAAATTATGTCCATACATCAAAAAGACCCTCATCCAGGTGAAGACCCTTTCCCTGAGCACACGCAATAGTGGACATGATGAGTAAGCTATATTGTAATTTTATGAAAATTACAAACTAATCAGTGTAGGAAGAACATACTTGGGATAATTACAGAGTGTGCAAATACGGTTTGGAAAATTGTGAATGTTTGCTCAATTTGTGGGAAAATGCCAAGCACACAACTCTGAAATAAATGAACAATTTTATCTCCTGCATGTGTGATTGCTGGTTCATTGCACAGGGCAATGAATCTTTGGACAACAGCATGATGCATTAGGTGTGTTCTTTCCTAAAATGAGAGTTTCTGACAACAGCATGATGCATCAGATGTACTCTTTACTAAAATGAAAGTAAGCAAAAACATGCAAACTGCAACAAGTGAAAAATTTCTACAGCCCATACACCACAAAATACTTCTATTATGTTTCTGTTACCTTGACTCTACTGACTTCTGGAGAAGGAAACAGGAATCAAAACTCCAAAGTCAATCAAGATATTCACTCTTCAGGGGCTTTTTGAACTGAAGCAACTGGGGAAGCTGTAGGAAGCTAAAGATCAAAATAGATTAGTGATTGCTGACTCTTTAAGGCCATTTTAGTCACTTCCCATTTCTGTTCTTTGGGTTGTGTTGCAAGAGTGTTGTAGAATCTATAATAATGGGCAAGCGCATTGACTCTTGTATACTGCACTGACTGGACTGGAGGAAGGACAGACAGCTTTTCACATCTGAGAAGCTGGTGTCAAGGTGAGGCACACACCTTTTATCGGTAAACTTTAAACGGCTTCTTGGGTCACAGCTATAAAACATAGAGAAAGAGGTAAAATGATCTATCATGATTTTCCCTGTGTGATTTAGAAAGAGTGCTGCCATCCAAAGAGGCTTCTGGTTTCCGTTTCTGCAACCGTAACTAACAGCTCAAGTAAGTAACAGCTTACTTTGTTTTATATTTTTCTGATTCTAGTGAGGACTTTTTCAAATTGATGTATGTATTTGTGATAGTGCTATAAAAAAGACATTTAAAACCTGAAATATGCTCCGACTCAAAGGGGCTGGTTCTTTAAAATTTTTGATTCCCCCCTTATGTCTAATGGTCAAGAACAGGAATCGTTTTATTTCAACAAAAATAATTTAAACATAGAAATAGAGTATTTCAGCAAATCTGAAAAAGATCGGTTCTGGTATTAATGGACAGAATTTTAAATTTTTCCATATAAAATTAATGTTCATTTAGAAATTACTTGAAGGTTCCACTACTTTTTTTGCTAGTGTTATTATGCAGGTAATAAAAGCAAGTCTGAATTACCAATGCCAGTTTTTGAAAGAATTGTCAGGGACACTATTCATTACTAATTGGAAGATAAATTGTCAGTTGATTTATGTATTTCTTGATTCCTTATTTAGGGTAGATCAAGAGAATTTTAAACTAACTGTTCAGATATCACTCAGACAGGCACAGAACCCACATACACAACCAATTTAAAAATACAAAGTTTTAAGACACACTTCTCATTCTACACTTTTTTTTCCCCTTCTAAAGTCAGGTTTCCAAGTCACATCTTCACTCTTGTCCAGCCGCTGCTAAAATCTATTCCTAGCTAAAAGTGTTTTACTCTTCTGCTTTTCATTTTCTTCTCCTCCAGCACTGTTTTCTGGTGTGAAAATGCTTCTCATGAGCATTGTTTCTTTTCTGTCCTTCTGTTTTCTTGCAGGCTATCATCTAGCTCTTACAACAAGAAATCCAAACTGCAGAAGTCCTGCTGAGATGGGAAAAATCATCATTTATGAGCACGCCAACTTCCAGGGATACTCCAAAGAGTTCACCTCTGACATTGCTGATCTGAAAAAAGTAGACTGGAATGATTGCGTTTCCTCAGTGAAAGTAATTGGTCAGCCTTGGGTGGCTTATGAGCATATCAATTATGCAGGCCAGTTTCTTGTACTTGAGGAGGGAGAACATAGCTTTGTGGGTCATGAGATGAATGACAAGATCTCTTCTTTGCGGTTGATTACTGAAAACCTGCACAATCCCCAGATTACTCTCTATGAGCATGTCAATTATCAAGGAAATAGCAAGGTGGTAAAAGAAGCCACTAATCTGGGCAGGGGTTATAACAATGACACGGTGTCTTCTCACCAAGTGCAGAAAGGTGTCTGGCTACTATGTGAACACAGTGATGGAAGTGGTTTTCGTTACCTTGCACGAGAACACGAACACTTTCCTAATTACAATGCAATCAGTTTCAATGATAAACTCTCATTTCTGCGTCCCCTTCGTCCTGGTAGAGGTTGTGACTGCTAGACTGCAAGTCCAGTAGTCCTATGGGTAGATGCAGTCCCTGCAAAGAGAAGGAGACCTAGAATTCTGCCCTTGCTTCTACTGCTTTTTTTTTTTTTTTCCCCCAGCATCATAGAAACCGTGAATATGGGAAGTCTATATGTGTTGCTCCACATCTGATTTCTTTTTCCTACCTCACACTATTTACTGTCCCCACAATGCTCGTGAATGTAAGAGCTGTCACGTTTGGTCCAAACAGTGGCCAAGTTTCCCAGGATCCTGTGACTAGCATAGATGGGGCAGGTGCTAAGGGAAGACTGTAAGAACAAGGCAAATATCAAGTATTCCATCCTCGTGCCCACACCAGTGCTTGATTTGGCCACATCTGATTTGGCAAATCCCCCTGTATAAAAGGCCTTAATTTCTTTCATCCTCTGTGCCTTGTCAGGAGAGAAATGGCAATTAACATTGAAAGAAAGTCAAAGATTAAGTATTTGCCTTTTGGAATCTGTGTTCAAGTACTACATAATGGAGAAGTGTTGCATGCTGTTTCTGTTGCCATATGCATAAACAAGATGTGAGCCAGGAGAATCATATCTATAAAGTAAAAGCAGCTACAATTTACAATGGAAAATGTGAATGTATAACCATGTATCACTTGCTTTGTAATTTTCTTCAGCTTGATCTCTTGCTTTACAATGATCACTTTCCTGTTCTTGCTTTCCATTTTGTGTTGTTGCCATTAAAGGAGTTACTGAAACCACTGAAGTGTCTATTTCATTATTGTTTGAAGTTTAAAACAGATATGTGTAGCGAGTCCACCTCGTCACACTACAGTGAGAAAATCTGTGAGGAATCAGCTAACTGGCGGAGTACCTGATAACAGCCTCAGAATTTGCTCTGCACACACTGACTGAATTTCCATCAGGGTCTGGAAATGCATGTTCCATTTTGTCAACTGATAGGTGAGTAAAGAGTTAATAACCAAAACTGCTGAACTGCATAAATTTTACCAATGTGGCATAAAAGCGATGGGGGAACTTTGGGTTCTCCATCCAAGAAAAAGATAAGGAAGTGGGAAGTCTTGTGGAGGCAGGGAGATCTCAATCTTCTAAAATCTGCAAACAATATCAAACTCACTAAAGATCTGATACACTTGCAGAACAACCAATAAGGGACCAAAACTCATCTCACTGATGGTGCAAAGAACAAATAATCTTTTGGAACTCACATGAAGGTTCTGGAAGGATAACCTTATAAGGATGACCATAGCACAGACATGTACTCCTTCTCTAAGGGTATAAAAGATAGAGTTTAGCATTAGAGCATAGCAGAAATATTGAGAGATTCTTAAAAACATGATGCATGAGAAATAGGTGATCAAACTTGACTACTTAGCTTGAAAGTACAGAACAGTCTGCAAATACACCAAAAGAGGAAGGCAATAGCCAGTTCTTTGTGCCTCTGCTAAAGAAACGTGATAATTATTGCTGTCTCAAAGTGTAGAGTTGTTAGAGATCTTAAATGGATTTTACGTACTTTCGATCCTGTCACAAACTTAAATTAAGACTTAAACAGGTATTAAAATGGAAGTATCCAGAGGTGCCTTCCACCCTAAATATTTCTAGGATTCTGTAAACCCCACTTGGACATAACATAGGCACCACTGCTTATGCATGGAAACCTCTTGAGGTCAGAAGTCAAATAAGGGAATTTAAGAAGATTGCAAGATGTGATAAGCATGTATGTAGGGAGTAGTATCAAAATTCCAGCAGTAAGTATTGTGAAGTTCCTGTAGATGTCCCAAGAAAAGTAATTTTTCAGGAGAGATCCGGTTTTATAGACCTTCGTTTAATTAGAATCTGAATGTCATAACATTCTTTTTGCCATTTGTGACTCTTCCTTCCTGTCCTTTTATTATGCACCTCTGAAAAGTATTGGGCTCTCTTTTCTCTACACCACAACCCTCACAGTAGATAGGAGATAGCAATTATCCTGATCTTCTCTATGCTTCCTTGGCTTCTCCGGGTGTATGGCATGCTGCAGTGTCATGCAGTGGCCCTCTGCTAGACTGTACCCATTTTGTTTACATTTCTTTCAAATTGGAGGATCTCAAATCAATGCAGTATTCCACATATGGCCTCAAGAATGCAGAGCAGAGGAGAATAAATGTATCCCTTATGCTACTGGCTACTTCCAAAACAATAAATGGTTGTCCTTCAGCACCAAGATTAATATCTGGTCCACCAGGAGCAGATGGAGGTAGAAAGATAAAACTCAGAGACAACTAGAATTCTTCAATTTCTCTGTGTCCTGCATATACTAAACATAGGTAAGTTTGGGAGAGTAAAAACTTTGTAACAACAGTGAGTGCAAGAGTTATTCTTCAAAATGAGTATAAAAAAAAGAAATAAGGTGGGTAGTAAAGAGCTCAAAAAATTTCTTTTCAGTCTTTACTGGAACTATATAGAGTGAATCAGTCTTAATATCAGGCTGTAACTAGCAGCCTGCATCTCCGTGATTCACACTCCAGATGGGAGGATGTCAAGACTGTGAGATAAGGCCTGGCTGGGTGCTAGGACCCACCTGCCCAGACCTTGTGTCATTAATATTTATTTCACTCTGATTTGACTTCAAACTTCTGCTTAACAGGCAACCTCAGGTCATACCCTGCTGTGGCGGCTGGCATGTACAAGTTTGAATAACAACAGTTAGAATTCGAAGGTATAAAAAAAAGTTGTTCCATGCAGGCAAATGTTAATAAAGGTGGAACTTCTAGAAAGGGTCCAGCATAGAGCAACAAAGATGATTAAGGGACTGGAGCATCCAAACGGCTGGGTGAGCTGAGCCTGTCTAACCTAGAGAAGAGAACACTGACAGGGGGTCTTATCAACACATGCAAATACCTGAGGGGAAGATTTAAAGAGGATGGGACCAAACTCTTCTCAGTGGTTACCAGTGAGAGGACAAGGGGTAATGAGTACAAATTGAAACACAGGAAGTTTAATCTGCAAATGAGGAAGAACTTCCTTACTGTGAGGATGACAGAGCACTGGAACAGGCTGTCTAGAGAGGTTGTGGTGTCTCCTTTGGAGATCTTCAAAACCTGCCTGGCTGCAACTCTGTGCCGCGTGCTTTAGGTGTCCCTGCTTGAGCAGGGGAGTTGGATTAGAAGATCTCTTGAGGTCCCTTTCAACCTCAACCATTCTGTGATTCTGTGCTGTATATGAAGTGAACTGTGGTATCTTACTAGGGGAGAGAGAGAAATCTAGTGATTTGTTATGAGCTGATTCAACTACTGTTTTCTTTGATGCCATCATTAGACTCAGGATACCTTCACTTTCTTTGACAGATTGCTTTTCAGGAACTCTGAAAGTATGGCTTGGTCAGGAATTAAGTTGTGGATATGACCTGTGGTGTGTCCTATTGGGGTTGTTAGCCTGTTAGGCAGAAATTTGTTTTCCAAAATTTCTGGAATTTCTGAAGACTTTTGTTCTATATGGGGAGTTGGATGTTTTTCTTGAAAAGCTCTCAAGAAAGAGACATGGGACAGAGAGAAAGAGAGTCTCATAGACAACATACCTGCTGCAAGCATGCTTGTCTATAACATCTGTGACTGACAGTGGGACACTGGTTTGTCTGAGCCAGGCCCAATTACACACACTTGCAACTTCTGCTATTGAAATTGAGAGAAGTTGAACACAATTTTATCTTTGCTTTCAAGTATGTGTCTCCCCAGGGGTGGAGGGCCTCAACCCTGGAGGAAATGACATAAAAACAGTTCGTTTTCTAAATGCCAGGAACACACTCATATCTAAGAGCATCAAGATAAAGTCCTTCAGAGCAACTGGCATATTGTAAATTTTGTGTCCTGTACCTGATAAATTTTCCAGGTAGCCAACTGTTTTGACCTGAAAATCTGGCATTTGCTATGGAATGTATTTTAAAAACTCTCATTTCAACTCTAAATAGTGCTCCCTCTCTAGGGAAAAACACCTGCAAAGAGCAGTTCAGAGAGCTTCCACCTAGGTCAGCAAAACACCTTGAAATAACTGTAACCCTGTCAGTTCATTTAACTGAAGGAGTATTCAAGCTTAGAAAATTCATAGACCTCTGAGGGGGACAAATAGTCCCTGATTCCGCTCCACCAATTTTCCCAGCTGTGAGACCCAGAGAGTACGGCAGGTTAGCACCAGAATACAGCAAGTTTGTAACTTCCATTCTGCCCAGTGCTTGGTATTATCTTTCTTCACAACCTTCATAAACCTAGTGTAAGTGCACTTTGGCCCTGAGCATTCTGTCTCACATATTTCAGACACCTCACCACCCAGTCTGTCAGCTGGGTCACCACGGCTACAAGCTGCATTCCTATGTTAAGTACAATGACAATCTTTCATTAAAGCTGTCATTATGATTCAAATTTGTAAAATGACCACTTCCAGAAGCAGGTTTAAATATGCCTGCGCTGGGATGCTTGTGCCACAATGCCAATGCAGTTCGGATGTAAGCGATAGTGCCCTACAGTAATCTTGCGTCAGGAACTGGCAGCAACCTTCAAACGCATCTCACACATCCTTTCTCCCTCAAATGGTCAAGGCTTCAGGCATCCACAGAAGAAGTGCAGCATAGATATTGTTCTTGCAAGATAGAAAGCAAAAAACAGGGCTATGTGTTGGAGGAAATACATGTCTTGTACTGCTTCACAGTAACTTTGGCAGCTGCAGAGACTCCTAGGGGAGCATGTGCTGCTATTGTCCATGTCCTAGTACCTTTCTGACAGGTGGAATTCACCTGGAGTGGGGCAAAAAAAAGGAGGAAGGGAAGAGGAGGAGAAACAAGTTCTGGGGTTTGGGAATTTGAAAAGACAAAAATGTGACAAAAAAAAGACAATCTCTGCTTTCATGTACAATGAATAGAAATGGAAGCAGAAAATATGTGAAAAATATTTAAAGGAATTTTTATATGAAATACTTCTTTCAGAATGATACATGAGTGATGTTTAGAGTCATATTTAGAACAACATT